CGCCAGTGCCGGAGCGGGAAGAGCCGGAGCGGCAAGAGCCGGAGCGGCAAGAGCCGGAGCAGGCTGAGAAGCCACCAGCTATGCCCGCCCCCCGCTGTGCACACACTGGGGAAACAAAAATGCTGACACCAGAAGCAATGGTAGGGCGCACCAGACCCCTCCAGGAGAACCCCGGCCCATGGGCCCCCTCAGGCGGGCCGGCGCCTGCCCAGGGCACACTCAGCGGCGAAGGTCCTCAGCAGAGCGGAGCGGGGAGGGAGGGCGGGCGTTCCCAGCAAGAGCTTCTCCACAAAACACCCAGAGTCGTCCACCCGTCAGCGTACACACGGCCACACAGGGTGGGCCCTAAGTGGGGCCACGGAGCCCCCAAAACCTGCCCCCCTCCCCAGGCACCTCCTGGCGGGGAGCCACAGGGAAGGGCAGGGGCCAGGCCAGTCTGGGAGGGAAGAGCAACATCAAAACCCAAGTCCAGGCCCTCCCTGCTGGCGCAAGGGGTGAAGACGCAGCCTGTGAAGCATCCGCAGCCTCTCAGCACGAGTTCAATCCCCAGCCGGCCAGGGAGCTACCCACAGGGCGCAGCAGACCTCCCCTGTCTCCTGCTGCTCCCCTCAGCGGTGGATTTCAGTCTGCCTGTTCCGCTCCCCACTCTGTCTCTGGGCAATCCTCTCGCCCCCGCACCTCCGACCTGCACCCCAGTTCTTGTGTGCATGAATAAATAAATCTTTAAAATAAACAACCCTAGTCCAGACAAGGCCACCCCGGCCACCCCCGCGCCTCGCTGCGGCTCTCTCTTCCGGGGTCCCCTTCATGTCCCCGAGTTCCTGGCACAGTCCCGGGCCGGCAGGCCGGTGTGGCCTTTGCCAGTCTCTGCTCCATGGCCCCGGTGCCCTCCACAGCATCCTTCCTCCTCTTCTCTGGCTGCCCCCTGCCCAGCTGCCTGCTCCTGGGGGGCTGGGAGCCTGCGCCCCACCCTCCGTCACACGGGTTCTGGGGGCTGCGGGCAGAGAATGGCTGTCCGGGCTTTGCCCATCTTTTAGAGCTTGAGGTGTCAGCTTTCTGTGGGTCTGGGGGTCTCTGTGCCCTGGGCCCGCCAGCGGGTCTCCCAGATTGCCCCCCCTCCAGTGCTTCTCGGGCTCGTGGCCTTCCTGCTGGCCTCTGAGCGAAACCTTTGCATGGGGGGGTCACGTTGCTCATTGTCTCTGGCTCACTCTGTGAACAGCCCCCCAAGGAGGACCCTGCTCCAGAGCCGGCTGGACCTGTCCTGAGCGGCCGGGCTGCGGGGGCGCCTGACCAGTCTCCCCACCCGCGCCTCGAGGCCCCGCCGCAGATCCTGCTGCTCTGCCCAGGGCGGCCCCACCCGCTGGCCTGGCCGACCTGGGCGCACCAGCATTCCGGGGAGGCCGCCACACTGCAGATGCGGGGGTGACTGAGCGCCCCATCTCAGGGTAAGATGAAAGACCAGCAAGCACCTCCTGGGCCCGGTCACTCCCGCTGAGGGGTGGGGATCAGGCCCCAGGCAGTCTGGGCGCCTGGCGCGACGGGCATGTGCAGAGCCGGCGGGTGCGGAGCCCGGCGTGGGGGCGCCCGGCATGGGGGAGCCCCCGTGTGCTGTGTGCGGAGCCCGGCGTGGGGGCGCCCGGGGTGGGGGAGGCCGGGGTGGGAGCGCCCGGCGTGGGGGCGCCCGGCGTGGGGGCGCCCGGGTGGGGGCGCCCGGCGTGGGGGAGGCCGGCGTGGGGGCGCCCGGGGTGGGGGCTCCCGGCGTGGGGGAGGCCGGCGTGGGGGCCCCCGGCGTGGGGGAGGCCGGGGTGGGGGCGCCCGGCGTGGGGGAGGCCGGCGTGGGGGCCCCCGGCGTGGGGGAGGCCGGGGTGGGGGCCTCCGGGGTGGGGGCCTCCGGGGGGGGGCGCCGCCCCCAGGAGCAGCCGCGCTCAGCGCTCAGCACACGGGTAAGCCCGACCGGACTGAATCTGACCAATCACCACAAGAAAAACTTCCCACCAATCAGAACTCACTGATTGCAGCCTCATTTGCATAAGCGGGACTAGCCCCGCCCCGTCGCCATCCGCGCGGGCGCCCCGCCCCCCCGCCCCCCCCCCCCCCCGCGCCGCGGGCGGCGACGCTCGTGCTGGAGCGCACCCCGGGAGCAAGGGCGCCCCCGTACGAACCAGCCCCTGCTGCACCTTAATGCCGACTCCGAGCTGCACCGCGTCCTTACTTCTCGGGCCTCCCGGGGGCCAAGGCGCCGGCCCGGGGGCGACCCCCGGGGTGCAGCGGGGCTCTCCGGTCTCCCCGCTGCTCCCCCCAGCAGTGTATGCACCCCAGTTCTTCTTTTTTTTTTTTTTCAAAGATTTATTTATGTATTTATACAAGCACTGGGTACAGTCAGAAGCGCGGGAGGGTGAGAGAATTCACCAGAGCCAGAGCGGGGAGCAGAGCAGGCAGAAGGACCGAAGGACACTGCTGAGGGGAGCAGCGGGCGGCAGGAGGGATCTGCGCGCCATGCGGGACCCTCGCCCGGCGGCCGGGGATTGAACCAGCCCTGCAGAGGCTTCGGGCAGCTTTGCAGCCCAGCGCTCAACCGCTGCGCCACCGGGGAGGCCCTGCACCCCAGCTCTTCTACGCAAAAATAATCATATGTCTATTTTTAAAAGATTTATTTATACGTACAAGAGCTGGGGCGCAGGCCAGAGGTGCAGGGGTGAGAGGACTCCCCAGAGACACAGCGGGGAGCAGAACAGGTGGATCCCCTGACACACACTGCTGAGGGGCGCAGCGGGGAGACGGGAGAGGCCTGCCGCGCCTTGCGGGTCGGCTCCAGGTATCCCCGTGCGGGGACGGAACTCAGGCCACAGTGGCTGCCGACAGCTTCATGGAGCTGAGACTGATCCCTGCGCCCCCAGGAAGGCCCAAGTCAGTTCTCTTTCTCTATACTAAGGAAGATCAGGCGAAGCAGAAATTTAGTATTTTAAATTCAGGACCGTTTACAGTCCCAGCTGGGGGAACGGGGCACTGACGCATTCGTGTGACCACGTGTGTGCAGGACCTGTGTGCCAACACCCCCAAAAGCTGAAGACTCAAAGAAACCCACGCCAGGGGTCTGGAAGGGCAGGACAGCGACCATCTCACTGTCCCCAAGTTGCCATGGGGTCACACTGGGCCCTCCTGCCAGCCGTGACTGTGTGGGTGCTGCCACCGCCCAGCTGCTGACCTCCCCAGCCGCCCCCCACGCAGGTTCTTCCCTGGGGACACAAGCCTGGCCGCCCCAGCTGCCCCGTGCTCCTGCGCTGACCAGAACTGCCCCCACGATTGGGTGTCCTCGTCCGTTGCCCTACACAGGAGCCGCCCCACGAGGGGAGACGCTGCGCCCTCAGCCCAGCCGTTCCCGCTTGCCCCGGTGCTCCGGACCTTCTCCTGCCCAGACCCGAAGCCCCCAAGGGCCCAATTCCCAGCGCCCCCTGCAGGATGGCCCTCCCCTGAGGCCAGGCCCTCCTTCACCCCCAGGGGCCCTGGACTGCCAGGCTCAGCCCCTCGCGGACAAGCCTCGACAAGCCTGTGCGGAGCCGGAAGGCGCCGCCTCTCCCAGCCCGCAGGACCGGCTCTTCCCTGTACGAGGCCTGGAGATTTCTAATTGAAAAAAGAAAGCGTGGAGGTGCCTGGAGGGTGGGGGCCCTCTCAGTTCTCGTCCGAGTGCCGGGGAGCAGCCAAGAGTCGGCTCGGGAAGGGGCGCAGCCAGGAAAGGCAGCTCCTGGGGGCCACAGCCCTCCCCACCTCAGTGGCTGTCCAGGGCTCTCTGAGGGGAGGGGCAGAGGCGTGCGCGTGGGTCATCCCTGCCCTCCCTGGCCTCAGTCCCCCATCTGGGGAGCGGCCCCTCAACGGTCCCAGGGTTCTGGGGTGGGGAGAAGCCACAGGGCCGCCAGCCGGGTCTGCCTGCCGCTCTCTGTGGTGGAGGAAAGGGCCTCGGGTACCCGCCCTCGGGAGCCCAGGCCAGGGGTCTGGCCTGCACAGGAGACGACTAAGGGACCGGACTCCTGGCGGAGGTTGTGAGGGGTCCCCAGCCCTCCCCCACAGGGTGTTCAGGTCAGGGCCTCCCCTGGCCACCAGGTGAGGGCAGGATCTGCAGGGGATTTGGGCGAGAAGTGGGTGCGTCAGCTGAAGCGGAGGCCGGGGGCTCCTGCCAAGCAGCCTGGCCGTAGCGGCCCCGCCAGCCAGCTTCCCCTCTGCCAGGCCCTCCCCAGCCCACACCCTGCCCTCCCTCCCTGCCCGGGAAATCGAAACTCTGGGCCCAGGGCTCCTCCTCCCAGCGACCTCCCCAGAAAGGGAGCTGACTCAGAGCCGGGGCTCCGCCGCTGCCGGCCAGGGCCTGCCCCCCATCTCCGCGTGGGAACTCTGGCTGCAGCTCCACACGCGCCAGCGTCAGGCGGGGCTTGGCACGCGGGGCTCGGCCAGTGTCGGGGCTGGCCTTTGCTTGCGGATGCCCTGCAGGCCGAGTCCGCCCCGGGTCCTGGCCGTGACCTCGCTCTCGTGACCTCGCTCCTGCCGTTGGCCGTGCGTGCTCGGACACTCTTGTGTTCTGCACGCAGGAAGGACCCGCCCTGTGATCGGCTGCCGGCCCCTGCGCCAGCCTGCTCGTCCTGGGCATCCCCCTCCCGCTGGGTCTGGGTTTCCTTCCCTTGCCACGGCCCTGGTCTGCGCCCCTTCCCCGCTTTGTGGTGTCCTCCCCGGCGGGATGGCGGCATTGGCGCCTCTGCTGGGGCTCTGGTGGACGCTGGCCATGTCTACCCGGGCCAGCCCTTTGCTCCCCAGGCTTGCCCGGCCCAGGAGCGCGTGACTTGGCTGCGGTCACCTCGCAGTGCCAGGACCCCGGGCTTTGCTCCCTGCTGCTTGTTACCTGTCCTGCGCCCAAGGCGCCCCCCCCCCCCGCAGCAACCCACCCAGCCTGGCGGGAGGTGGCAGCGGGGGCTGGACAGGGGAGCAGCACCCCTGCCCTTCAGCCAGGGTCGGAGGCCCCCAGGCGGGGCCACAGGTGATCACCCTCAGAGTAGGAAGGAGGAACGTGGGTGTTTATTTGAGGCACCAAAGCAGGAGGGTTCGAGTGGGGAAGGGGTGCAGCTGGATCTGGGAAGGGGCAGAAGGCCTGTCCTGGAAACGCCCCGCAGTGAGAGAGGTGGGGTCTGGAAGTGCCAGGGAAAGGGGCTCTGGTGTCTCAGTGCCCGTGCCCGCTGCCCCACACGGGCCCTGATGTGGCCCCCACCACGCTCGCGGCCACACGTGGCTGAGCAGGCTGGGGCCCGATGCCCCTCCTCCGTGTCGCCGGGACTCAGTTTTGACTCCGGGACCCTCAAACCTTCCTGGGTTCCCCGAGGAAGGTGACATCATCGGGCGGGAGAGCGGGCAGCTAGGCCCTCTGGGGCAGGGGTGGCCAGAGGGAGCACGCAGGGTCCGGTGGGGTGCAGGCTGCAGGGCGGGCGCAGGCTGTCCCGGCCGGGTTAGGGGCCCAGCCGCAGCAGCATGGACAGCAGGCTGAGCAGGAGCCCGAGGCCCAGCACGGCGGCGCTGGCCCGGAGCCCGCCGTCAGCGGCGCTGAAGTTGCACAGGAAGCTCTGGCAGCAGTGGGTGCCCACGGACGCCACGCCCAGGTCCACGCTCGGCCCAGGGCAGATGGGGGAGCAGCCCTTGTTCAGCGTGTGGCCGAAGTCCACCACGTTCCCTGCGCGGGGAGAGGGGCCGTGAGTGGACAGGCCGCCGAGGCGGGGTGGGCGGCGGGGCCCGCGACACTCACCGAGGTGGGCGGCCGCGGACACGGTCACGCAGTAGTTGTCCGAGTCTGCGCACACCGTGGGCTTCAGGCAGTAGAGGTTGCTCTGCTGGTCCGTGCAGGAGAAGCAGACCAGGGAGCGGGCTGTGGAGGGACGCGGCTGTGACCCTGCCCCTGGCCCCAGCCCGCCCGCCCAGACACCCAGCCCCGCCCCGCGGGCCTCCGTGGTGTGCAGGCCCCAGGCAAGCCGGAGGTGAGGACGCTGGGCCCAGGAGCGGCAGGGCCCCGAGCCGCCTCCCCGGGTGTCAGCAGGCCCCGGGGACAAGAGGGACCTGCCTGGGAGGAAGGGGGCTGGGCTGGGGGACGAGGGGGCCGGGCGACACCTCACCCTGCTCCACGCCCAGAAGGGCAGCCAGCAGCACAGGCAGGAAGAGCTTCATTCCGAAGGGGTCAGGGCTCCCGACCGGGCCCTCAGAGCCGAAGAGTGCGGTCCCGCCTAGAGACACAGCCGCGGGAGGCACGCGCTGTCTGGGCTGGGCACTGGCTTGCGGTCCCACGGCTCCCACGCTGTGGGGGGCAGCACCGCCTCGGGCCAGGGCAGAGTCCGCTCCCTTCCCACCTCAGAGGGGGCTCGGTGGTGGAGGGGAGAGAGGAAGCTCAGTAACATCTCACTAAGGTTCTCAGAACCACGAGGGACCCGGGGCAGTGGCCCCAAAGCTGGGGCAGGGGCTGGTGGCCTGGAAGGAGAGCAGTGGCAGCATCCAGAACCTTCCACGAAGGCTGGGACCTGCTCTTCGTCTCCTGTGACTGGGAAGCAGGTCTGGGGACGTGGTGGGTGCTGGGCCCGGCAGGGTGGGTCGGGGGAGCCGGGGGTGCTCCGGACACTGCAGCAGGGCCCTCCCTTGGACAGAGGCCAGCGGCGCTGGGTGGGGGGGAGAGCACTGTGCTGGTGCCAGCTGGGTTTCTGCCTCCGCGGGGTGTGCAGGCCGCGTGGGAGGAAGAGGCTGGAGGCGCCGGTTTCCGCTGGGGGCCGTGGAGGGGGGCAGGGCACTCCGGGAGGGCAGCTGGGGGCCGGGCCGGGAGGGCAGATGTCTGGAGAGGCCGCTCGGGAGACCCTGCCCCAGAGGGCAGCCGGCCCTGGCCCCGAGGGGCCCCTCTCCAGCCCCGCGCGGCCGCCAGCGCTCCCGGGCCCGGGAATGGAGGAAAGGAGCCTCCGTGTCCCCCTCCACAGGGGGCGGGCGGGGGGCGCGGGGGGCGCTGCGCCCGGCTGGCTGGAGCAGGCCCCGCGCGGCCAGCATGGGCGGGTGGGGGCGGCAAGACGCTTCCCGCAGGACAAAGGGCGCCCGGGCGGGCGGGCGGGCTGGGGGCGCACCGCGCGGGCTGCAGGGGCCGCCCCCGGAGGCGGCCGCGGGCCCGGGCCGAGCAGACCTGGGCGTGCGGGGCCGAGCGCGGGGGGGCCGCGTCCACCGGCCTCGCGCCCTCCGCGCGCAGGGCTGCCAGGGGCGGCCTCCCCGGGGCCCGCGCTGCCCCCTCCTGCCGCCGCGTGCGGGGCGCGGGCCGCGGGGACCCGGCGGCGGGTGCGGGCACCGCGCAGCCCGGCCGCCCACGCAGGGCGCCCCTCCCCGGCCGCGCGCCCCTGCGAGCACCCGGAGGCCTGGGGGAGGGGGGCGCGGGCTCGCCCCGGGCCCACCCCACGCCCCCCCGCCCCCCGCGCCCCCGCGCCCCCGCAGGGCGCCGTCCTCCCGCCGCCCCCACACGGGCCGCCGACTCACCGCCGGGCGGACGAGGTCCAGCGGCCTCACCAGCTCCCCAAGCCTGGAGCACCCGAGTCCGCGGCGCCCCCGTGACTCCCCGGCAGGCCGAGCGCGAGCGCGGCCAGATGCTGGGGGCGGGGCCTGGGCGCGGGGGCGGGGCCTGGGCGCGGGGGCGGGGCCTGGGCGCGGGGCGGGGCGGGGCGGGGCGGGGCCGGGGCGAGCTGGGCAGGTGGCCACGGCGGGCTTGGCGCGGGCGCAGGCAGGGGCAGGGGCAGGGGCAGGGGCAGGGCCGGGGGCGGCGCGCGGGCCTGCAGGTGGCCGGACGCGTTGGGAGCGCGGCTGCGCGAGGCGGGACTGGGCAGCGGGGAAGGCCGCAGGGAGGGGTGGGCCCGTGGGGGGGCGCTGGCGGGGCCTGGGGCCTGCGGGGCAGGGGAGTGGCGACTGTCCCCAGCTGACCCTCGTGGCATCTGTCCCCAAGTGCGTGAGCACGACTGCCTTTTCCTCTAGCACCCACTGTGCCACCCTGGCCTGGACCACCCGTGGGGGCGTGGGGTGGAGTCAGGCTGTGCCCCAGCAGCGGCCAGGCCCCCTGCGCTGGACCAGCTGCCCCTCCTCCTGTGGGCCTGTCCTGGCCGCCAGCTTCTGGCCCCTGCTACTCAGGTTCTCACTCATCTTAGAGACGCATTTCCTAGGGCAGCGCTGGCTTCCCGGCGGTGGGCGGGGGCGGCCTCAGGAGCAGCTTCCTCACTGGGCCCGAGGGCCTGGGCCCTGGGTGGCAGGCAGAGGGACCCCGCTGGGGCCAGCCGTGTGGACGCTCCAGGGCGCGCCCAGTGTGTGTGGCTGGGATGCCTGGCTCTCCTGGCCTGAGTGTGGGTGTGGGTGTCTTCAGAGCTCTGGGGCTGGGGTCTCCCTGTGGGGTCTCCCCTGACATCGGGGTGACACTGTGTGGGTCGGGTCACCCTGGGAGTCTGGGCTTGCTCCTTACCGGCTGAGGGCAGGCACCTGTGTGTGAGAGCTGCCCCCAGCGGATGTGGTGGGCTCGAGGGGTCCACAGCTCTGGGGCGATGGCCCCGCTGTCTCCAGGAACACAGGAGCCGGGGCCATGGCTACCTTCTCTGGATCTTAGCTCTGAGGTGTGGGAGGGTCTGGGAAAGGCAGTCTCAGCCTCCCCTGGGCGTCTTTCCAGAACCTTCCCTTGCACAGGGCATGCGGAAGGTCCTCTGGATGGTCGTGAGGCCGCTGTCCACCCGCCCTGGAAGGTGCCTCACGTGCCCTGTCCCCAGGGGACGCACACTCATCCTGGTGCTTCTTCCAGACATTTCTGTTGTCCCCTCCCCGGCTCCCCAAAGTCAGCTCTGGAAAGATGGGCCTTGTGTTCCAGCACCCAGACTGCCTCTGGCCCCCAGTAGGGCCTCTGCACTCCTGCCCCCAGGCTGCCCAGGGGCCCTGGGGCGGGGGTCTCTCTGTGGCTTTCTTCCTCACAGATGGGAACGCATGACCTTGAGCGGCCTGACCTCTTCTGTCCCGGTTTGTGCCAAACCCTAGGGGCACAAAACTGTCTGACTCCTGGTCCCTGAACCTCGCTCCCTGGGGTGTCTGCCCCCAGAGGTGCCTGCCGCTGACCGGAGCTCCGGGTGCCGGGCCGTCCAGCGAGCCCTGGTAGGGCCCGGGGTGTGGTCAGGCCCAAGCTGAGGCTGCCCTGAGGTGGGCACCCCAGGGGCGTGGGCTGCCTCTTTCCGACAGGTGATGGGGGGGTGGTAATTCTGGGGGAGGCTGGCTCAGAGCTGGGACCCAGCCGGCGATGAGCACAGGGCATGGGCACTGGGTTGTTACAGGGCAGCCCCAATATAAAACTGGTTGCCCGGCTGTGGGTCCTCACCCGAGGCTTCAAAGGGACCTATTAATACTCTGCTGCGGGCGCACACAGAAGGTTCATAAAAGGTTTATTCACAGGGAAGGGGAAATGAGGAAATGGACAGCTCAGGGAGAAAAGAGGGAGATAAAGTCTTAAATGCGTCCTACCCGATCCGCCGCCTGGAAACCCAAAGGCACGCTGGGAGCCGGCGGGGAGCCAAGAGGAGAGCCAAGAGCCGTGAAGCCGAGAGGCCCCCAAAACCCACGTGTCTGGTTTTACACCAAACCTGGCTGCTTAACTCCACCCTCAAGTCCCAGGAACCCTTCTGTGGGGATGGGATTCGTCATTTCCAGTGTCTTGAGGGCTTGGTCTGGGGTGGGGGTGGAGTCCACAAGGCCTGCATGGAATTAGCTCAGGACATCCTTTCCCCCTAACAGGGTCACCCCCTCAGACACCCCGTAGCCGGCCACCCCTGCGGTCAGGTTTGGGTCTGTGTTCCTGGCCCCCCAGCCCCCAGTCCCCGTCTTTTCTTCTCCGTCCAGGCCCACTCTGGCTGTGCCGCCCTGGAAGCACCCCTTGTACCCAGGAGGACTTGTGTCTGTGGGCAGGCTGAGGGGCACCCAGGAGCCCCAAACTTGCACACGCAAGGGATTCTGCCAGCCACTGCAAAGCATGTATTAATGCTCAGCGTGAAAGACTCTGATGGACGCGTGCAGGAGGGAGAAGAGCGAAGAGACCGTTTCCCAAGGCAGCGCCCAGACAGCCCCAGGGGACCCGGCGCCCCCCCAACCCCCAGGCTCGGAGCCTGCACCCACCCCCAGGCCCAGAGAGCCTGCCCCCTCACTAAGGCAGTGCCCAGGCCCGTGGCGGGGCAGGAGGGGCAGGAGGGGCAGGCAACTCCGGGAGGGAAGAGCAAAATCGAAGTACAAACCACGGTCATGGCTGCGTTTTGCGTTTTAAAAGGGCAGGTTTACGAGGAAAAGGAGGAGCTGAGAGAGGCCTGTGAGGCCCAGGGCGGAGGCGGGGCTGGCGGAGCCCTGACGGCTTGCCCTGGATTTTTCCCTGCTGCTTGGTGAATCACTTCTGGGGTGACCGGGCAGATTTGCGAGGACGGGGTTCTCTGCCGTGGCCCTAGTGCACACCCCCCCACTGGCCTGCGCCCACATGCCCTCAGCAGCTGCAGCTCGCCCGTGGGTGCCCGTGGGGTTTCATTGCTGTGGTCGGTTTCTTTACCCCGTTTTCTCTACCCACCCCCCTCTCTGGTCTCGGGGTGCCTCCGCCCTGGATTTTCTTCCTTTGGCCTCTGTGGGTCTCCTAGGCTTAGGGGGCGCTTCAGCTGCCATCCAGTCACCCTGTTAGGCCTTTTCAGTACAATGTCCATCTGGTGACCTCAACTTAAAGAATCAAACCTCCGACCGTGCAGACGTCCCCTCTCAGGTTAACGAGGGCAGGCGCTGGGCCCTGGATCAAGGATGACCATGAGGCGTGACCAGGATACCGGAATTGTCAGGCCTAGTCTCCCAGCCAGGAACGGATCCCAGGCTGCAGGGCAGCGCTGAGCCCCAGCCGCTAGACCCCCACGGGCTGGTGTCTCAGGAAGCCGCAGCAGGAACTTCGCAGACGCTCAGGCAAGCAAGCGAGCAGAGGCAGGTTTGTTTAGAAGAAGAAAAAGTTTATTGAGGAGAAAAAGAGCAGAAATAAAGTGGGACTCCCGGGCCAGGGAACCAGGCCTGCGAGGGGCAAGGAAGCCAAAGTGGAGTCGTGTCTCAGGGAACATAGACCTTCTTTCCCTGATTATTCTACAGCTCCACCCGTCTCTCTGTGATGGGTCAGGTCTCGGCTGTCTCACTTAATTTGCTACTGAGTGGGGGATCTTCACGTTCCTTATCTAACAGCTTTCTCTTTCCCCATTTGTTGCATCTTTAAATTTATGGCCCAGTCCTCTGGGTGGGCCTCCCTGCATTGAAGTTAAACAGCTGCCCTTCTAATGGGACCATAAATGAAACCACTCTCCATGTCTCCAATCTCCGCCTCCCTTTACCACCTGAAGGAAACCAGGACCAGCGTTAACAATGCTGTCCTTGGTCCTGGCATGTTTGTTTTTCCTAATGGAATGGGTTATATTTCTTTGGTTGTCCTTATCTCTGAAGCCTCCCTAAATTCTTCAGAGGTCCCCTCCTGCACTGTCCCTAAAACTGCCTAATAACCCTAGCTTGCCCTGTCTCAACCAGGATGCGCCCAAGATCGTCAGCTGACGTAACCCTGTGTCCCAGAGACTGGTCAGCGGACGCCTTGCTAATAATGAGGCCGGCGTGGGCTGCCCATTGAGCCCTGAGCCTCCCGGGATGTGTCCCCCGGGGCCGGGAAGGGGAATTGGCAGACTTTGCAGGTGGGCGAGCAGAGAGGGGCAGACTTTATTCAAGAACGTGAGCAAAGGGTTACTCGGGGGAAAAAGAACCAAAGCAAAGACTCCAGCGCTGCCAGGAGGGCCGAGGGGCGCCGGCGCGGGCCGCGTCCAGGGGTCCTTCAGCACGTTCTTCTCTCCTCCGCGCCGCCCACCCCTGGCCTGACCCGCTCTTCCGCCCGTGGCCACGGGCCTCCTGCCGACGGGCCGTCCCCAGCTCTTCTCCCAGAGTTTCTCTTTGTCCCTCCCCCGGCCCAGGGCTCCTGAGACCCACTGTCCTCGTCAGGGGAGAGGCTGTCCTGAGCTAATCCCACGCAGGCTTGGTGGACGCCACCCCCACGCCAGACCAAAGCCGTCAGGACGTGGGGAGAGACACATCCCGTCACCGCCAGAGGGAAGGTGGCTGGGACCTGAGCGGGGCTCAGCAGCCAGGTGGGGATAAACACCAGACACGTGGGCCTTGGGGGCTCTCTCCTCGCCTCCTGGCCTCCCGGCTCCGGCTCGCGGCCCCTCCCAGAGCCCAGAGCGCCACTGGGGACTCCAGATCGGAGGGTCGGTAGGACGCATCGAAAACTTTGTCTCCACTCTTCCCCCTGAGCCGTGCGTTTCCTCATTTCCCCCGCCCCGCTGAATAAGCCTTTCAGGAACCTTCCGCGAGCGCCTGCAGTGGAGCGTGGATAAGTCCTTTCAAGCGCGCGGGTGAGGACCCACAGTCAGGCACCCCGTTTTGAATCGGGGTTGCTCTACAACACTTGTGCTCCTACTGTTGTAGAGCAACCCCGGTACAAAACGGGGTGCCTGACCGTGGGTCCTCACCCGCGCGCTTGAAAGGACTTATCCATGCTCTACTG